CGTTAGAGTTGCGGGCTCAGGGTTGCAGGCTTGGGGTACCGGGTTTAGACTTCAAGCCTTAGGGTCAAGGGTTCAGAGTTCAAGGTTTGCTTTGGAGCTTGCCCTCGTCCAAACAAGCAGTGTGAAGTGCATGTGCAACCCGACAGCAGTCTTCGTGGAACATGTGTTTAGCAAGGGGTTTTGGATGCTTTAAAGACCATGCAAGGTGGAGAGGGCCGTTGCTTGGAAGCCTTGGTGTTCAGGGAGCTGCGGGTTTGGTGGCTTAAGGCTTCAGACTCGGGTATCAAATGTCGAGCCGCTCTGCCACAAAACCTTCTGCCGGTAAACTGCAACGAGCGCCTACTCAAAGTACCCCGCCCGCAGAAGTCAGGTCATAACTGCAGGTATGGCCTGGTAGCTTCACTAATCGTTGTCCATAAAACTGGACATGCCCAAAAACTCCCAACCCGTCAATGCCCTCAATCCTTGAAGCTCTGTGCTCTGGACCCTACGCCCAAAAGCATCCTGAAATTTTCCCCCCGTATGCAAAAACCCAACCCAAAATGCAGTGTGGGTTTGGGCCAAGGGCATGAAATCCAAACCGGGATGCCACCAGTTCTCCAGGTTGGTGTCGGAATTTATGAACCTACTGTCTTTCTGGCGTTTAGGGATTTAGGGCGTTTAGGGTCAGGTTTCTGGCTGGTGAAGCCGCATTACCTCTAGGTCCCGTGTAGCTCTACTACGAAACACGAGGGGTATCCACTACTGGTTAAAAAGGATGATCAATGAGGCATTACAACCTGGTGGTAACTGGTAACTTGAAGGCTGGCCCAAATAAGGGTCGTCAATTTGCTCGGGCGTGTTATGCAACCCACACTACTAGCCTATGAAAAAATGCACTACAGCATCAGGGGAAAAGCAAACCAGGTCTGGCGAAAACCAGCTTGAGTGACTGACATCAGAGTCTGGCTTCGGGGTTTGGGGCTTCCTTCCTGACGGGGAGGGTGCTCTAGTGCGCACTCCTATTTGCATCCAG